AAAAAAAAAAAAAAGTATGTTTACCATAGTACTAATCCGTCTACTCTCTTAAAAATTAGCATAATGTGGTAATTTTATACTCCCTCCGTTTCAAATTATAAGTCGCTTTGATTTTTTTGGTACATCCACTTTGCTATGTATCTAGATAATAATATGTCTAGATACATAGCAAAATGGATTAATAAAAAAGTCAAAACGACTTATAATTTGAAACGGATGGAGTATATCTTTCCAAACACTAAGAAATAGTATAAATTAAAAAAAAAAAAATCTAGTCTAATTTTTTTTTATCATTGTCAAATTTTTTAGAAAGAATATTTAATAAATTTTATTTATTAGTTTAATTTTGATAATTCATAGATTAAAAAATACATATATTTATACAAATAACATCTTCATAAAAAATATGTAAATTTTTAACGTAATAAAACAAAATCTGCAATGAATTAAATGAAATAGACATTTGCTCCAATTTATTTATAGTTTTAAAATATATATTTTTTTAATCTCTTTTATCATGAACTAATTAGTAAAATTATTTTGTATATTTTCTGTTAAAGTTACCCAATTAAATAATTATTATATGTAATAAGATCAACTAAAACTGTAAATTTGCAACACAATAATGAAATCTTATATTACCGATAAAATAACCAATATATGTTAAAAATATCAATTAAAATTGTTATTTGCAACAAAAAATCAATTCTTGTGAAAGAATTATATATTAATTATATTTAACTTTTATAATTTACTAAAAAAACTAAATGTATTATTAGGAAATATGGTAATGTACTTTTTAGAATTTACTAAAACCTTTTTGAAAAATGTTCCTACTAAAAATAATTTCAAAATATTTTTTTTCACTTCCTCAGTTAAGTTGCGACAAAATTCAAACTTATAAAAAAATGTACATTATTTATATTTATCTTTTATAATTTATTGTAAAAACTAAACTTATTATGAGGAAATAATGATAATATATTTTTTAAAGTTTACTATTTTTTTTTTTTTCAAAAATGTTCATATTAAAAATGATTTAAAATAAAAATTTTCACTTATTCTTGTAAAATAAATTCTTAACTTAATGTGTAAATTCACATGAAATATGTCTATAGGAAAATACTTAATACAGCTTAGTTAACATATTTGAAAGTATCTAAAATATATTTATTATTTTTGAATAGTATGTATTAAACTTTGTCAAATGTTGTGTATTAATTTTAAGTAACATCCATGCTACAGGTAAACAATAAATATGTATCAATAACATATGAAAAATATTTTATCTATACTTATATTAAAATCCATCTTATTTACCAAAAATAGTAACAAGAAAAGTCAACTCACATTTAATGCATACTTTATTTGGAATTTTTTTACTATATGCATTAATTGCTTACATATACACATTTCATATTCAAATATGATCAAAAAGATTCTTTTCTTAAATAATTTTATTAACTTCTGCAATAATTTTACTTATATATATTATAATTCATATTTGACGATAGTGTTTTTTATTTTTATTTGAGTATATAAAAAATAAATATTTTTTTAAATTAATATTTTATTTATCATTTAAGAGATAATGATCACGTCATTAAATGATATTACTGATGGCTAGATAATAAATTAAAATACATTAATTATTTTTTAAAATTTTGGCATGTTATTTATTTGTATATCTATACTTATTTATAAGGTATCCTATCTACCAAATTTAGTAGATTGAAAAGTCAACGTAATTAATACATTGTTATTTCTCTCCAGAATTTTATTTAATTATTTTATTTATTTATCTTATATCCCATAAAATCAGTTTAAGAAAAAAAAATTTCATAACATCTTACAAGTAAAAAAAAGACGTAAAATATTTACTAAAATAAAAAAATTTATTTATTTGTCTTATTCCATATTAACATCGATTTTGTCAAAACAAATCCCATAAAATCAGTGAAGTCAAAATTTGTACGTAAAATCTATCTATACTTAAAAAAAAGACAGATTCAAAATTCTTTATCTAATTCCTTCTTTTACTTATCTAATTCCTTCTTTTCCTTATCCAATTCTTTTTTATTATCTAATTGTATGAAAATATGTTCTGATTTTGTTCAATCCTCTAATTGTATTTGTATTATATGGTTTAACAAAAAAAATCCCATAACATCCGATAAGTAAAAAAACAAAGTACGTAAAATCTTTACTAAAATAAAAAAGGCTTTATTTATTATCTAATTTATTATCTAATTGTTCGGAAATCTGTTCTGATTTTATGGTACGTACTACAAATTGTGCACCCGTGTTCATGAGCTACTTAACGGGCAAGCTCTGTGGAAATGACTCATTTAGTGCTTCTGTCCCGTGCATCGATATGTATTTTTATTACATACTAGAAAATTGTGCACCCCGTGCATCGCACGGGCTCTGTACTAATAAATGACCTTAAAATTGTGCACCTCGTGCATCACCCGTGCTCACATTTTGGCCTACTAGTAAAGATCACGTGCGTTGCACGTGGTGAAAAAATGTTTTTGCTAATTAAGTTTTAATGTGGAGTTGTTTGTTTCAAGTTATTAAGTTTTGTTAAATGTAGATGTAATTTTTAAAAATGTAAAGTAAATAAACTACTGCAAAAAAGTACGTAACAAAATATTGTTCCTAAATTTAAACAAAGTAACTAACAAAAGATTGTTCTTAAATTCAAACAAAGTAACTAAAAAATATTCTTAAATTTAAATAATAAAGATAAGTAACTATGATCTTCAACTCTTCTCTTTCTTTATGGTGATGATCGGAGAGGATGCCTTATTTTCTTTTCCTTTTGAATTTTTCCGCACACATTTCTTTTTAAGACTGCTGATTGTTTCATCATCGTTGATTTCAATGACACTATCATTAGCGTCTTCCTTCATCTTGTCAGCGACGCGTTTTCTTCTTTGAACTTGCTTTTTTTGTGACGCCTCTTGATTTTTTGGCAGACGACTTGGAGCTTTGGGAGATTTTGACGAACTCTCTTTCATATCAACATCATTGATAGGTTGTAATCTTGCGATTGCTTCGACAACCACGTTCATCTCTCCTCTTGAGTTGTAAGACTTATGATTTATTTGGATGAGAAATTAGAATTCAGTGGTTGATTGCAAGCTCAAGCCTCGATAGTAATCAGACGATTCTTCTCCCTAATGAATACGGAACGAAATTTGAGTTATAATTGAGTATTTGAAGATGAATTTGAGTTATAATTTTATGTATTTGAAGATGGATTTGAGTTATAAATTTAAAAATTTATTTACATGCTCAATAGATCTAATGTAGTCTTCAATAGAGCACCCCACGTAAACCATCCCGACATCTTCGAAAAGTGTTATAGTGCCACTGAGGTTCGCTTCTACGACATTTAGTACCAACCTATATCTGCAAATAGTACAGTTTTTTTAATTAATTGTTTTGTTTATAAAATATAAGGTCTAAATCTTTTGTTTTTTCTTATTACCTTGGAGTTGTTTCCACGACATCGTTGCACTTTTTACACATCTTGTTGCCGTCATTCTTGTTAACAGAGGATGTGCAATTTTTTGCACGATTCATACCATAGAGATGTTTTGTTCATTACTTTGGCGACAAATCCTCTTAAGCAGTAGTACTTTCCCTGTAATTAGAAACATTTTTTTATGGATATAAAGATCTCAACCAAAGAATATGTTGGTTATAACTATGATATTTGTTAAATTTACCTCAATTATGTCTGCACGATTGTAGTAAATCTGTTGCAAGGTGATACTATCCAAGTCCTTCATTCTTCGTGCCATTGACATTTCAATTACATTCACAGGCGTACCATGTGTTTGTAACCTAAAAAAATACAAAAAGTAGGTGTTTTTTTTTTGAAGTAAAATGTGATATTTTTTATATCGTATAAAGAATTTAGAGAATACCATATACGCATATGGTTGTATTCCTCACACGCCGTGTTGATCTGAAGAAGAGATGATGCACTGGTTTGCATTTGCAATTGTCCTAATCAAATAAAGGTGAATAAAATAAGAGCAAAAGATTTAGTATGATTTTGTGTATTAAATACGAAAAAACATGACACTGCTTTAGTATGATTTAACCTATTCAAAGGCACTGGATTGTGGACTGGTTTGCTTTGATTAAGACTACTTTATTCTTATCCTCTATATATAAATATCGACCAAAGTTACATTCTTTTCACCACAAACACAGATTATATAAGGTTTCTTTATTCTAATCAGGGCGACGATAATTTGCCGAACATCGGGGTATAACAGTATTTGTCACAAAAATGGACAACAAATGGAATGACTTTTAGTATTATAAAATTTTATAAAATTATTCTAATCTTATTTTAATCAAATAAATTGAGTAGATTCGAAATTTTTATTTGTATTTTTCATTTCGTGTAATTGTTGTCTAACATTCAGTGTTCACTAATTATGAGATAGAATTTGCACAGAATATAGAAAATTATCAAAACTAAAAAAAAAAAAAAAAAAAATTATTGATAGGCTGTGGGTTTCGGTTAATGCACGTAAACAAATTGATTTCATCTATATTATCTCGAGAATTGTTATTTGTATTTTTCACTTCGTGTAATTGTTCTCTAACATTTAGTGTTCACTAACTTTTGGAATTTAATCTTGTGCATGAGACTACAGTAGTATCAGCATCATTTGCTCAATCTACTGAAAGGGATCTGATTGTTGTCACTGATGAAGTATGAAATACATTTATCTATAGTAAAAATGTTTTTGTTTCTTCATTTATGAATTAAGGGACAGGGGAAATTGCATTTCAGTTTGGTTCTGATATTATGTGAAAATATGATACATTCTTGCAGTAATGCTTTAAATAGAACACCTTAGAAAATAAACATATGATTCACCTTATATCATGTATGTTACATTTGAAATGTATCTTGAGAACTGTTTCTGATGTCAGATATCTACTTCTTGTAATTAGTAGCAGTCTTCAAAATCTAAGAGGATCCTGAGAAAGATACACATTTTTTATGAAGAACAATTCAGTTTTACTTTACATTAAACTGTCTTAAAAATTAAAAATCCATGATCACCTTTTTTTTTTTTATCTTCCCAATAATCAGTTTGAGTTTGCCCTTTCTAAATACTTATTAAAAAGAATTGAAAATGAAAAACTACAAACCCATAGCAAACGCTACTAAAAAAATCTAGCATAAAAAACGAATTAAGAAAAGTAAATTAAAATAAACATGAAGTGAGAAGAAGAAAACGAATTCGAAAAATGGACAACTGAGATTTTATCGATTCTAAAGAACTAAAATAGAGATGTTACATATCAATCACAATGAATGAAATATATTATTGTTCAAAACCAAACACTTTGAGATTTAAGAATTCGATAATCCGATAACCAAGATGTATAAAATAATGGATAGAACAATAACATCAAATAGAAATGCTCATAACCAAGCGTGTATGTTCTTATTATAAACAAATGAAGAACAGCAAGAAGAAATAATATTTGGAAACAAGATATGTAACAATGAAGCCATCAAGGTCGAAATCCAATATCATTTTGGTTCACAAATCCCAGCAAATTTCCAGCTTATATAGGAACTCTTCTAATAAGATAATTTCCCAGCCAAAATAATAATAATAATAATAATAATAAAAAAGCTGAACAAAACATTACTCTTAAGAATTTGCAACATTACTCTTACCTTCACCACAGGGAGCTTTCCTAGTAGGAATATGAAGAACCTTAGTGTACAAAAAGCTGCACAAGCATATAAAACCACCCATTTAGTATTATAAACATGTCAATATGAACTTTTATGCAGCAAAGACAATTGTCAATATGAACTTTTATGCAGCAAAGACAATTTCACGTCTCCTTGTACCTGGTTGAAAAAAGTTCTGATAATTTGGGTTTATTTATATTAAGTTGCAGTTAGGGGGGATACACTTCTTAAGCTTTATAAAAATTTATTAATGACATTACCTTCAGCAAGAAAAAACCTAGGCTTTATTTGGATAAATTTTTCCTGGAACAACTCCCCGTAATAACATCCCATGATCACCAACCAAGCAATACATCTATGCTTTGTCAGTAGCTCTATCACTCAATTCTCAATCGCTCACCAAATAAAGTCCTAATTTCTATAGAGAAACACGAAAAAAATTGGAGCTCGAGTATTTTTCTTGTGATAGGTGTCAAAAAAACTCACACGATCGTGCATTGCCTGAGGATCAATTTGATAGCGAAAGAACATATTAATGAGAAAGCAATGAGGTCAAAAGAATATGTAACATCAAAACTAAAACAACTTACAACTTACAGAATAGTGACCTTCTTCAGGATTTTTAATATGAAGAAATTCTGCTAATAATTTTAATGGCAGAATGCAGATAAAGCATACAACATAGAGCAGTAACTACATCTTCCGTTTTCTTCCCTCTTTCATCAAATTCAGTTGGTGAAAATTTATCATTGTGTAAATTTATCAAATATGAAATCTAACACAATTAAGTACCCTAGCACCATAGAATCGTGAGCATACCGGAATTTTTTTGGGACTGACCTTCTCTGATCCTTGGCCGCTTTTATTCACTCGATCGTTGTCTTCTTCACCACCCACACCAAAAAAGACGCAATATTTATCAGCTGGTTGATAATCATATGGGAGTCGACCGATTTCGTGGTTGATCGACGGAGGACGCTACGTATGTGATCTTTGGACGGTAAAAAATCGACCCGGGAAAAAATATTGACACCGGAATCCCTAATTTTGGCCGACTGTTTTCCAGTCGTGAAGAGGGCCGCCGTAGTGCGCCTTTGGACGGTAAAAAATCGACCCGGGGGAAAAATATTGACACCGGAATCGTGAACAACGGCAGAAGGATCTGCGAATTTCTTCACCTGTGTGCGATTCCGTTTTTTTTTTTTTTTTGGCAGAGATCTCGTTGTGTTGTGTTTAGAAATTAGGATTAGGGGTGGTGTATTATTAATATTAAATTACTAATATTTAGTTATAAAATTAATTTGACAAAATAAGGGTAATTTAGGCAAAACAAAATTTTACAGATTCATTGGCTCTTTTAATAAAATATAGATTACAGGTCACGTACTATATATATCCCGTACATATTTTTTTTAATTCATTTATATAATTATAAAACTCGATAAATGATCTTAAAATTGTACACCCCGTGCATCGCACGAGCTCTGTACTAGTTGTTGTATGATAAGGGCAATAATTATTTTTTATTATGATACTGTAAAAAGTGCAACAATTATTTATTGGTTTATAGTTTAGTTGTACCACTCTTTACATATTTACTTTTTGTATAGTACGTCATGTATTTAAATAGTGGTTACCGCAAAGTTGTAAAATAAAATTTTTATATCAGCTTATATTGCAATTTTCATTGTAAAAAAAAAATAAATAAATAAAAAAAAAATAGCATTTATCACTAATCGTTTGAGGAACATAACCTTTAAATATGATGATGAGTTCTTATTAAAACATTAAAATACTGTAAATATTTGGGATATTGATGTAAATGACTAATATCAAATCTTGAGATTTAATGTGGAAAACGTAATACTAAAACTTGTTGTAGACCATTTTAAAACATATTTACATTTTTAAATAGATTTGTTTATGTAAATGTTTCCTAGAAATTGGGACACATAAATTGTTCCAATGTGGACAACATTTGACCTACAATTTTAACCAATGTGGACAACATTTGACCTACAATTTTGAAAATTAAAGTGCATAATACGAAGTCAAAAGAAGAGGAGAATTTTTAGGCACACAATTTTAAAACTAAATCTCACACAAAAGCTTAGAAACCAAATTTAAGTTTTATTATAATTTTTTTTTTTATAAAGTAAATCAAATTATTTAAATAAAAAATTCAATTTCCTTTTGAAGTAAACATTAACCTCTTTCGATATACAGATACCAAAGAGTTGAATCCTACATAATCGCTGAACTTACTTGAATATCTCTTAGAAATGTTTCCTAAATCTTTATAAGTATTAAACGAAAACCATATATCTATAAATTATAGTAATCGGGCTAAAACTCTTTTAGACCGGTCGTACCCGAGCTAACCACTCAGACAGGTCCACCTAACTATTTTGGATGTTATATCATATATAATCAGCTACACACCACTATTACCATTTTTGTTCATGCATTCATTACTTCATGTAAAATGATCGTCAGTCTTCTTTATGAGGTTTATTACTTACTAGCAACAGTTCCAATGAACTTATTCACTCTCCTGAAGCTATGTTCTAAGCTTCCTGAAAAATCAACAAAAGAAATACATATAAAATCAGTATATACATGAACATTTGCCCCCTCTTTGGCTTCACTATCCGTTAACTAATCTGGAACACGTTGGCCAATTTCTGCCAACGCCGATCATTGAGCAGTCTATCAAAGTCAGATACGATATTTGTAACAGACGCAAAAAGACTTTCAGCAAAACGGATCACGGGAAATTATCGGGAACAAATAAAAAAAATGCATCCACAAAAGAAGTTCCAGATAACCTAACCAAAGATAAAAAGATACTGAGTTCACGGACCCCACTCGTTGAAGTCAGCTTGTCGGTCAAGACGTGATAGCATCTGCAACAATCTCTTGGACCTCAAAGCACTAATAGCGTGAAGCTCCTCCAAGATGTCGATAAAGCCCCTCAGGGGCCTTCCATGCCCCGAGCTAAATAGGCCCATGTATGTCTCGTACCCAACCCTCAACGCCTCACGAACAACAAAGCAAACTTCATCATTACTCATATTCATCCCAAATGTGTCCTCCACATGGTCAAGATAGCGGCCAAATATCCAATGGCACTCGTCCGAACAGCTGGGAACATAGTGCTCGGGTCTAAAATCCCTTCTGATTCTCGGGAATTGTTTGAACCTAAACGTGCAGCACTCTCCCAGAAGGAACGGGTCGTCGGGCCTGAGGCCCGACCCTCTTTTGTTCTGGTAACCTGGGTAGTCTTCAATTTTGAAATCATCTCGGCCGATGCAAAGCAGAGAGCAATCAAGCGCAAGATCCTCGATTTTCCAGCTGTTGAATGGGGTCGTGGTTTTGTGAGTGATGTGGATTTCACCTTCGGGGCACAGCATGGTGCTTGCATTTGTCAGGAATCCATGGACGAGTCTCCTGTGCAACCTGTAAAACGGAAGTTGGAAAGTTCCAATAGATGCTCAAAAAAGGAATGAAAATACAAATAGTTGGATACTTATTTTTATTCAAGAAATGCTTGAAGAAGTAATAGAACAACAAAGACCATGGTTATCTAATTCTATACAAACACTAATCTACTGGTCATGCTCTTCACCCAATATTCGATTCACCCAGAATCACGAATCAAGTACTGAATCAGATTAATGGAAGCAAACTTTTTTTTTTTTTCCCTAGCTGCAATAAGATAATCACTATTGATAATATGATAGAAAGCAAACCCACTAATGCCCAAAAGATTATTAATGCAGCTACTAGCTTGAGCCCTCAGCTTTTCCACATTGCCTTTATCATGTAACAGACAGTGGAATATCCACTACTAGACTATGGACAACATTCTGCAACTTTAAGCAACATTGACATCAATTAATTCATATTTTCAAGATTAAATCAGAATAAGAAATCCAAAGAAAAAAAAAAAGGAAAAATCATTTCAACATAACCCGAAACACTAAGTATCGGCCCGGTCGAAACTTTCCATCCAAGAAAACAGATGCTTACTCTATGAGGTCAGGATTATCTTCTTTCCCATGAAACCCAGCATGAGGAAAGTTATAAACAATACGGTGGAACCTCAGAAACTGAAGATGAGGATGAGCCCTCATTTGGGTTGCATCCACTCCATGTATCAATGTTGCTCCCATTATCTCCAGAATTCCTAAATTTGCATAAGCATTCTTGTAGTTCTTCATCAATCTGTCTGGTTAAGTTGCACAAATTCCTCATTATCGAAAAGAATCGGAACATGGGAAATTACACTTGGCAAAAAACAAGATCACAATTCAGCAACAAAATACCCATATACACCAAGATGATCTATGGAAAAATCGGGGAAAAAAAAGTACTAGTTAGTAGAGTACCATGAGTGTCGAACGAAGTGGCGACGATGTTGGTGGCAGAACCAAAAGCCATAGCCAGAGCACGAGAAAAGGAGAAATCGCCTTCGCCTACTAACAGTATACTGTGGCGAGAACAGTAGTGATTTATCCACATCCCTTCTTCTCGTCTTCTTCCCCATATCTCACTCATTCTCTCTCTCTGCGTGTAAAGTAATTTCACTCCCTTTTTTGGCTACTGCTGTACTGTGTCTTCTCGGATCGTCTGAAATTCGAAATAGTGTGACATTGACGACGTTTTATTTCCGCTGTCGTCTTTGTGTGGGGTGACGCGCCATAAGCCGATTGCTTATCTAAGGAGGCCGTGGGGTCCTTTGCAAAAAACCCAAACCTTTGTCCTACTTTTTCTATATATTTATTTATTTATAATCAGGCCCGTCTTAAGGGGGTGGCAGCTGGTGCGACGTCCAAGGGCCCATGAGTATACTGTATATACATGTATAGTAGATGTATTGGTCAATTCAAGTAATAATTAATTTAACCTCTAAGCCTAATAACATCAACAGAATCAAATTAATCTTGATGTTGTTCTTGAAGATTTTGCATCAAGAAATGCTCGAAGGCAGATTTTTAAAAAGAACTGAAGCATAACTTTATTTGAAGTATCCAAAATTTTACTATTGTTTTACCTTCTTAAATGTACTGCTTTTTTTATTGGCTAAATATACATTGCAAGTTATAAATAGTACTATATACTCCAATTGTTATATTCAATTTTTAATTAGATTGTCGGGCCCTTAGTGTCTTGCTTGCCCAAGGGCCCTCGAAATTGTTGAGACGGCCCTGTTTATAATCATATAATATGATTTTTTTTTAAAGAAAATGCTACGATTCCGTTACGGAATCATTTCGTTGAGATTTATAACAGTTAGATGCATAATGGTAACGTAAAATTCTCCGATCGGCTAGAATTCGAGTCATCGCCTACTTTCTCGTAGGTTGAACGCCACGCACCTACAAAATACTTCTACACCGGAGGGGTTTTCCGGTGCAGAGCCTCCAAAGCTTAAGTCAGTGTCTGTTCAATCAGTTCTCAATGGTAAAAAGTGCATTTATCGTGTTCAACAAGAAAGACTCACCCCTTATTCATAAGGATGAGATACCTGACCTAATGGCTGCCCGGATTTGGTGAGTTGTTTGTCCCAACTGCCCGTCTGTACACACACAGTGTGCGTGTGTCAGAGGTAGCTGTCGCCACTATCCTTTGCACCAATATCTCTTCAACACATGTCCTCTGCACATGGATAAAATATTTCTTATTGATTCTCCTGATGTCACTCTGACAATTATGTTAGACTCTCACATTTGGCCTTATTCAAGTCAATCTTCCAAGCCCTACCCCCCAGCACAAGGTTCTCGACCATCAGGCTGTTCTCAGCCATTGTATCGACCACCTGGGAAACTCTCTAATCAATCTCGTCGGTTTTCGACCAGACTTTCTCTGCCCTCTGGGCTACTCTATGTGCCAAGATCTTCATCCTCTCGATCCTGAGATTACCCAACTGTGGTCGTATTCCCCATATCCCTTCGACCGACTTTATCTCATCTATGTTCGGCTTTGTTCGACCCACTCGTTAGACCAGTTCACTCGTTGAGAGATAATATCCCCTATCACACATGATAACTAATTTAGATGTGCATCTAACGGTTACAAATCTCAACGGAATTGTTCCTTACCCTTTAATTTAATTGACATAATTTGAATAATTCTAATATTATTTAATTTTATTATTATGGGATTCTTCATAAACAAACCAGATAAAATATTAACTTTCATTATTAGTTTTCTTGTGTATTTGATATCTAAATTTATCTTAGATAATATTTATTATTGTTTCCTTCTTTATACAACAAATAAACATATCATATTAATACAATTATATTAGTGTTATTTAAATAATCAAAAAATATAGTATGTTTACTTGTTATATATAGAAGGTTGACTCCACAATGGAGCCAACTGTTGGCTTCATAGCAAAATCGTGTGTTCGTATACAAATATATCACTCAAAACGAGTTTTGTTAGTTAACTAGTATGAATCTCGTGTAATGCAGAGTAAGAGATATTCATTAATATGTGTAAATTAAAAATGTTCATTAAATAATATTTTTATAAACTAAAAATATGGAATCATATGTAATACAAATTTATCTATATTAATTTATTTAAAACGTTACATGAAATTTAAATTGTGAAAATATATAAAACATGTCTATTTAAAATTAGTACACAACCCGCACGATGCACATAACTGATAATAAATTATATTATTTTCATTTTAAAATTCTTATTCAGAAATTTGATTTGAATACAATGTGGTTCCATATACTAATTATTTTAGTAAAATTTTATCATATATTTAAAAATGTATGTGAATATTAAGTATAATATATATAGTTAATTGTTTAAATCAATTTATTTTTGTATAAACTATCCAAATTAAAAAATAATAATTTGTTTCGTAATTTATTAAAATTTTAATAATTGACTATTCTATTTACGTCCAAGTTAATATTGACTCGTAAGTTATGAATAATTGCTTATTTGCATTTTAAATTTGGAACTCAAATTTGAACTACACAATATGTAACGCCCAAAATATTATTTACTATTTATGGAGTTCGACTTTATTTCCATAAATAGTTATATTCCTAATTTGATGCATTTATTCTATTTATTTGCATTAAATTGAGTTATTGGTATTAAAGTCTATGACATTGAGAATTTATTCGATTTTAATTATTAAAGTCGAATTAGTTAGCCCAAGTATCATTTCTGTTTTAAAAACCGAGTTTTGGAATGATCGAAATTTTATTTAAGCGGACCGAAGCCCGATTATTTAATTTATTCGAGCCTAATCATTTTCGAGCTAGTCCAACTATTTTAGCCGGCTCATTTAAGTACATCGAGCCTCTGTTCAATTTTATTTCGGCTCATTTAGGTTAATCGAGCCTATGCTCGATTTTATTTTGACCCATTTCAGTTTAGTAAATCGAGCCCATGTCCGATTTTATTTTAGTCCATTTTAAAAATCGAACCTATTGTCGATTATTAAATCCCGACCCAATTATTTTAGTAAATTCGATCGACTAATTTAATTAGTCCAAGTCTGGTCAATTTTCTTAGTCGAGGATTTTATTCCTTAATCAATATTTGACTCAATGAAGTCCAAGAATTGAATTTATTAGCCCAATGTTAGGATTCTAAAGCCCAAGTCAATTGCATTGAAGCCTTAAATTTGAGCCCAACAAGCAACAAAAACCCTACCTCCCATCCAGGGTATAAATACACCATTATCCTCCACCGATGGGAATAAATACACCATCATCCTCCACCATTCAAGACCCAATATCATCTCCTCCCCACCACCTTCAAAATCCGGCGACCCGACCTTCGAGCTCCGGCGACCCGCCGTCCCTCCGGCAGTAGCTTTCACGCCGGCAAGAGCTCCTTCACGCCAACCCAACTCGCCGTCGATCTCAGCCCGAGCTCCCG